CCTTAAACAATCCAATTAAAGCACACCTCCAAATTTTATCTTAACATGTAATTTTGCTATAAAATATTTTTAGAATTATCTTAAAAACTATTTTCATATCTAATTAGAAAATTTCAAAACTCCAAAAATGTCTAAAATCAAGTAGATCTATAAACATATGAAAATCTTAAAAAATTGACGGTCTGAATAATGTGTTGCAAGATGCACTATTTTTGGAACTCGAACACTTTTTTTTTAAATCTCGATGTCGAGATGTTCAATTAGAAGGTTTTTCAACATTAAAACAACCTTTCTGATGGATTTTTGAGTTGTGATTCTACATTTTAAGGTTGCAACCTTATAAACTTTTCCCAAAAAAAAAAACTTAATGCATTTAAATTTCTAACTTGAAGAAACAACATTAAATTTTCTTCGAACTCAAACCATTTTCAATATTTTTCTTGGATCTTACAGCCGCCCATGTTTCGCTACCAAGGGCTATAACGGAAATTGTTAGAGAGAAAACTTATCTTCAATAGGAGTTTTAGAGTTTGTGAACCCTAGAATATTTAATAATCAACAGACATCTAAAGCAGTAAACATCGTCTCAATATTCATGTATTTTTTACAAAATAATGAAAATGCAGTACCCTAATATTTTTAAAATCTCAAAAATACTATTTTAGTTTTTAAGTACTTTTGAAAACATTTTGAGGTTAAAAATGGCCGATCTAAATCCACCGATTCAGCCTAGTTTTTGAGATGGCTTATCCAAGTCACCGATCCGTTTTTCTAAATTAATAACCCCAATAATGTTGGTGTCCTTGACATTGGGATCAGGATACTGGTGGTTGGGTATTACATGCCTCAATATAACTCCATTTCCATTGTTAATACTTTAGGGATAGACTTCAAAATTCTATCGGGAAAAATTTCAAATCATGGATATGAAAAAAAAAAACATTTTAAGTTATGAAAGTAATGCATTTTACATTATCTGAACTATCAATTTTCAAAAATTTTAATTGCTTATAGACTTGCTTGATTGGCATCATTTTTTAGATTTTAATTTTTATAATCAGGAGTGACATTAGATTTTCATGTCATTACAAAGGTTTTCAGCACCGAAACTGTATTGTTTTAATATACGCCTTACTTTAATAGTATAATATTGACACCTTATATAAGCCACGCCAAATGAAAATAATTTTTGTGATCTTTCTATGTGGCACAATCAATAGAAGCTAGTGGATACTTACTAATGTGAGTTGCCGTATACTCAATTTTTGTAGTTTTGGCCACTAATATTTTGAAATGTTAGTTGATAAGAAATTTACACAAAAAATTTGATAAGAAAGTCGGAAGCTACTATAAATGCTTTTAAGGGATTATATAAAAATTATTTATCATTGTTAGTTGATAAGAAATTTACACAAAAATATTGATAAGAAAGTCGAAAACTACTACAAATGCTTTTAAGGGATTATTAAAAATTATTTATCATTGTTACAAGGAGGTCACAATTTTTAGTAGCCATTAGATGCTAATTTGGCTGGCTTGGAGTGTGTCAAAGTTCAATAATTCGTTTTGGATTTTGAATCTTGTCAATAACAAACTCACAGCCCTCAATTTGAAATTTCACATACAACAATCATTGTGACCTCCTTAACATAAAAATAAACCTTTCCATACTTTTCAAATAAGAGCATGATGCTAGCATTAAAAAAGAATACGATGCTATTCCTTTCAAAACGAACACGATGCCATTTTCTCAATCCTAATACTAACATTAAAAAGAAGGGGAAATTATGGAATATCCCTAGGATAAAACATTCTCCACAAAATACCCCACATAAGAAAAGTCTCTTGTGCTTACTGGGATTGTATATTTTGAGACCATTTACTTTTGGTACAAGGATGTCACAATTATTTTTAACCATTGGATGCTAAATCCAATAGATTAAAGTATGACACAATATTCAAGAAGTTTTATTATAAACATTGTGCCCAATCAATGACACATCCTCAAAATCATCCGATGCTAGATTTTATATTCAACAATCAATAATAATTACTAAATAGTCTCATTATATACATGTTTATACTAATTAACCTAGACTCTAAACAATCAAATTAGAGCCTACCTTCAAATAGTATTGAGAAATGTAGTTTCAATATTGGAAATCTTTTTAATAACCTTAAAATATATTTTCATCTTTATTTATAAAGTTTAAAGTTTAAAAAATAGTGTAGATTGAGAGATCTATGAAAACTTGAAAATTGACGGTCTAAAAGTGCGTTACAAAATACACTATTTCCAAACTTGAAATCCATTTTTCTCTCATGTTCATGCATCTTGATGTCGAGATGATGAATTTGAGGATATTTGGGTATCAAAATAACCTCGTCTAGTTAAATTTTTGGGGTAGGCTCGAAGTTGATTGCTTAAAGACTCGGCTCTATATAAACTCTTCCGTTAACCAAAAGGAACTTGTTTTTTTTTTTCCACGATGTTTAGATAAAGAAAGAGCTTTACAGCACGGTCTTGGCTGCAGGGTAGGACCAAGGACTCCATGACCAATAGAAATGCTTAAACCCCAAACCATTTATCCATAACTTTCTATCATTTGCGTAAATCATAAAAAATTAAACAAAACTCAAACCACGATCATCATCATCCGAGCTATTTTTTAACTAATTGGGGTCGGCCTAACAACCCAAACCCTCTTTCCAAAAACCATTTGTTTTCTCTCCAAACATCAAGATCAAAAGAACTCAAAAGCCCAAAGGAATTGTACACAATGAGAATATTTATCTTTGGTATAGGGAAGTCATAATTACTTAGAGTGAAATCTGACAACTTGGATATGTCACAAAGTTTGAGAAATGTTTTTTTTTTTAACTTTGAATTTGGTCAATGAAATAAATGTTGCTACCTAATTTCACGTCCAATAGTCAAAATTAATTTTGACCACCTTATATCAAAGGTAAATAATCTCATTATATACTTTTTCAATCCCTTCAAAAAAACTTACGACCGACTGATCCCATGACAGAGAAAGCTACATAATTCAAGCAAACACCAGAAGCCCTAAAACCCAATATCCTAATACCCATTATTTGCATTTCAACCACCACAGCACCCCAAATTTTAAAACTAATCTCCCTAGACAACACCATTTTCTAGGGAAAACACCAGTCAAAATTCTTCCATGAATATTGTCCAAAATCTTCTTTTCTTTAACTACCGAACAGCTAATTTTCTCTCTCACTCTCACATTTCATTTGAGGGAATGAGGAAGTCCCATTTACAAACCCTGAAAGCCATCCTAAACAAGGTTGACATGTGGACAAGGAAAAAATGGTTGCATCGGGTAAAAACGGATGTGTGTGAGGGATAAGAGGTAGTGTAGAGCACAGTTAGGAATCACGACCCGGAAGGAACCAGGCCATGGGCGAGGTCCGGGTAACCGACCCTAGCTGAGCAAGTACTCGCTAGGGGTGGCAACGGTTTAGATACATGTGGGGTCCGACTGGACCCAGACCCGGACCTAAATAGTTTTTGGGTCTAAGTTTTGGACTCGGAGCCAACATCTCAAGTCCCCGGTCAGGTCGGGTCCATTGTCACCCTCACTATGAGCTTCTTTTTTATTTAGGTGCGGTATGTATAGAGTCAAGGCTTTAAACAATCAAATTAGTGCCCACCTTCAAATAATGTCGACAAATGTAGTTTCAATACTGGAAATCTTTGACTAGCCTTAAATAATATTTTTATCTTTAATAATAAAATTTAAAGCTTAAAAAACAGTATACATGGAGCAAATATATGAAAACTTGAATAACTTAAAAATGGACGGTCCAAAAATGCGTTACAAGATGCACTATTTCTAAAACTTGAAATCTATTTATTTTATCTAGTCCATGTATCTTGATATCGAGATGATCAATTTGCGGATATTTGAACATCAAAACCACCTCTTCTAGTGAATTTTTTGAGGTAGGCTCTAATTTGATTGTTTAGAGCCTAGGCTCTATATAATTTTTTCCCTTTTTATTTTGCCCTTTTATTACTATCATATACCCATATTATTGACAACAAAGTCACAATCACCGGCTATTAGATTTCAAGTCAAGTCATTTGTCGTTTAATCGCTAAAGATGACTATGAGTTCTTATTGTATATGATTCTTAATATACCCAAACGAATAGGACTTGAAGTATTTTACCTTCAACAGTTTACAAGTACAGATAGGTACTACCAAACCCAGACCCAGACCAAGACCCGAATACTATTTTGGTCCAGGTTTTAGACCCATACCCGGACCCGTATTAGGTATACTCGATGGGTCCTGGATCAGGTCCAACGAGATTAGAAAATTAATAAAAAATACATTCAAATGAGATTAGTAAAGTAAGAAAAAAGAAATTGATTTTGAAAAATCAATTTGTGCCTAAGGTATGTTACAAATAATCTATTAAAGAAAAGAAAATATAAAAACAAGTGTTTATGAATACTCAATCTTTTTCAAACCAATAAAAACATTAAATGACCTATTTCAAACAAATTTTAAAATTTTTTAAAATTTTAATTTTTAAGTTGACCACCTTAACCGGCCATACCCACTGGTCAGTTCCATAACCCAGCCGGGTCCACGTCGACCCGCCCTGTTTTGCAAAGACTATAGTAGAGAGAGACCAAGAGACCGCTTCTTACCCTTCTAGATTTTAAGCCTATGGTCAAAGAAAAGGAAAGGCATTTTCGCCTGAAAAAAATTCTTGCTCGGGTTGACACCTCCCCCTATTCTCTCTGTCTCCACAGCTCTCTTTTACAGGGAAGTTTCGATGCTTTTATTTATTTATGTTTAAGATGAAAAAATTTCGTAGGAATTGCATTCCTCAACGCGTTATTCTTGTCAGGAGAAATGAGTTATGGATATTCATATTGGTCAAATTGAATATATGGACTTCAACTCAATGTGAAAACAAAATTAAGAAAACGATAAAAATTCGAGTAATTTTATATTGGGTCCACCGGCATGAGACAGAAAGTGAGGACCTTCCTGCATTGTTGCGACGCTTTACCATGTCAATTATTGAGAGAGAGTGTGTCAATTATAGAGAGAGAGAGAGAGAGGTGTTCTTGAGTTCATTTATTTACCAGTTTGACGGAGAACACAAGAGCAACGCGAAAGAAGGATGATGGGAGAGGAGGGGAAAACCATAGTGGTGGTAGATGACGGTCTCATTAAGCCATGTTTCTCCGCTGCCATGAAAGCTCAAAGAGAGCATGAGCGCACCACTTTATCTCACTTCATCGTTGAGAAGAAGCCGAAGAGTGGGCATGTGATCATGGGATTTGCAGGGAGTTGGCGAAGTTTGGAGGCCGATTTGCTGCGATCAAAGGGAAAGTTTGGAGAGTGTAAAGTGGACCTTGGCATCTTCCCTTTGCTCAAAAACCTCTGCACCGATGAGCCAGCCAAAGTCAATGAAGCCTTTCTCCATCGCTTTTCAGATCTCTTCCTCGAAGATGATCGATTTCAGAAAAAGGTGCAGTCCCCTCTTCTCTCTAAAACTATGGCTGTTCTCTTTCTCTCTCTAAAACTACAATACGACAGAGTACGACTTTTTTGGTTAAAAGCGTTTGATTAGATGGCAAATGGCACTTGTAGAACTGTTTAATGTTGGATCTAATTGTTTTCCTACAACTATCCTATAAGTTGCTTCTTTTTTTCTTTTCTTTTTTTTTGGTTTTGACTTGCGACCAAACGCTGTGAAATCCCTGCCTCTGTGATCCAAGCCCAATTCCTTACAACTATCCTAGAAATAGGAGCAATTAATATTTCCAATTTTTTTCTAAATTTTAAAATTTATGGTTCAGAACACAATTGTCAAATTTGCTATTTATTCTCCATCGCCGATTGGCTTTTAGGAAAAGGAAAAAAGTTTCATAAAAACGATGAGGCCCTAAAATAACAAATTAAGGGGCACCTAAAAATTTCTCTAGAAGAGGCGGTTTCGATGATAAAAAGTCCTCAAATCGATCATCTCGACTTCAAGATGTATAGACATGAGAAAAAATAGATTTCATGTGTGGAAAATAGTTCTGCTCGATCTACACTATTTTTTAAGCTTTACATTTTGTAGATAGAAATGAAAATAAATTTTTAGGCTATTTCAAAAAAATTTTAGTAGTGATACAACATCTTTCAATACAATTGGAAGGTAAGCCTTATTTTGATCGTTCTTGGGTCTTATACAAACCATACCCTTAATATCAAAGAGATTTTTTTAGAGGAGCAAATAATTTATATATATATAGTCAAATAATGCATTACAAGATGCATTATTTCCAAACCTTGAAATCCATTTTTTTCTCATGTCCATGTGTCTTGATGTCGAGATGATCAATTTGGAGATATTTGAGCATCAAAACAACATCTTCTAGTGAAATTTTTGCAGTGGGCTCTAATTTGATTGTTTAGAGCTTCGGCTCTATATAGACTTTTTTCTTTATGTATTATGACTGTTGTTCGGTGTGGACTCACTTTCTACTTATTATACGATTGCACATGACGTATTTTTTTAGATGTGCTTCGAAAGTTTGTAAAGCTACCACTACAAGACAATAGAATAAAGTTGTATGGGTTATGTTAAGGGTGCTACTATTGAGTAATTTATCATTGTACTTAACAAAATTTGGATATTTCTTTACTCTTATTTTGTATATAGACTATTTTTTTTAATAGGAGCATTTTTTGTCTTTAGGAGAGATATGACGTGACATCACGCTCTATGTAGTTGACGTTATGTTCCTAATAACCAAAAATACCTTTACTAAAAAGAATTCCATGTACAAAATAAAGATATATAAGTGTCCAAATTTTATTGAGTACAATGTTAAATTACTCTATAGTGTGAGCACCCTAACATAACCCAAGTTGTATTATATAACTTATAAGCGTATATACTATGCTCCTATGAGAATGTACTATACAAGGACTCCCTCGCTCTAATCACCTATTTAGGAGGATTTTGTTTAATATAAAATTTTGAGAACCATATAAGAATCACCATATGATAATTTTTAAAAGAGAAACCTTGAATTTTGACACTTCGATCTAAACCTTCAAAATTGGACGATCTCTATTCATTCTTGAGGAATTAAGTAGTCCTAGGATATAGAAAGTTTTATTTCAAAAAATATTTAAGTTATTCTATGGGTTATAGAGATTACATCCTCAAAAATTGAGATCTAAACAGTATCACTAGCATGTGTTATACCTGAAGAACTAAATAGATAGTACAGTTCCACAATAGTAAGAAATCTTTTCGGATAACCTCTAATTCAGTATGAATTTTTTTTTTTTTTTTTTTGTCAAGGACGTGTTTTGCTGTATCCAAATTTTTAAGAAAAGTGGTACCCAAAATCAACTGTAGACCATGCCACATTTATACCATGGATACTGTAGACCAGTGTAGGAAAAAACGGTTTTTTTTATTCATTTTTCTGCCATATTTTGGCACTTTTCAGTGTATTTGTTTACGTAATTTTCATATTTTGTCGATAAAACAAGGTTTTAAAATGAAAGATCGATAAAAACAGAGTTTTAATTGATTGAAATTGTTTTTTTTTTTCACGATTTTTGAAATTTCTGCAATTTCTTCAATTAAATTTTCATTACCAAATCATTTTTTATAAAATTTAGGGTGTTTGATAGATAATATTACCTTCTATCAGATCTATGTTTCATTTTGTTCAACCTACATAAGATTGTGGGTTGATTTTGGCCCAAAACACTGCTACTAAAAAAACCTGAGATCGATCCAATTTTTTTTTAAAATTATCAATTTATTGCTCGTTTTAGAACAAATTGAGTTGTGGTGTCTTATCATTATGGCTTCATTTCTCAAATAAAATCGGTAAATTTATTTATGATGGAGAAAAGTTTTTATATATGAATTGTTTTCTTGCTCGTTGTGACAAAAAAATTTGTAGATCTGAAATTTCTGTCATTTTTTCATTTAAATCTTCACTACTGAGTCATTTTTTATGAAATTTGGTGTGTTTGAAAGATGATCGAAGCCTTTACGATGTAGCTATGTTTACGTTTTGGTTATTAAAAGATTGAAGGCCATTTTTTGCTCGAAATAATGTTCGATTTTCGGGTTTTTCTTTGAGAAATCGATTGTTTTAAAAAAAAATTATTTTGCTTAATAAAATTATATCTATTTTTATATTTTTAATTATCTTCTCTTTTTATTGTAATGTTATATTTTTTCTTAAAAAAAAGAAAACAACTATTTTTCTTAATAAAACTTGTTTTTTCTTTTAATGTTATATTATTTTTTTATATTTCAGCTTTTATTTATTTATTTTTTTAATAACATTTAGACTTGAATGCATGTGTATATGATTTTACCTGTTATTTTTATTTTGTTTAATAATCCGGCATATTCCTCTTTCTTTTTTTTTCTTTTTTTTTTTCTTTTTTATGATGGATGCTACGATTAGTTTTTCTTTGATCTTCCTATATTTTCGCTTTTTAGGTTTTCTCTTATTTTCGTAATAGCATATCTCTTTGATGGGTGGCTTAGATGAAAATAGAGAATCCTAGAATAGTGCAAATAAGACATTTGAATTACTAGATAATATTTGCATGTTGTACTAATTAAAAAATAAATAAATTCCCATGTACCTAGTGTGTTTTTAATCCTTGAAATAATTTTTGTTTTTTTCCTCTTTTTTTTTAGTGTATGAAATCGTTCAATATATTAGCTCCCTCTAAAAGAAGTATGATGGATTAAATTATACATTAGCTATCTATTACTAATCTTTTGTTATTTAATTAAAAAAATTCTAAATTTAATTTTTTAAGATAAATGTAGGCAATAAATAGTATAATTTAATCTAATTTTTTATTTTTTAAAATTTTTTTTTCTGTTTTTAACCCATTTTTGAAAAAATCACCAAACCTAACAGGTCCGATTAACTGCCCGGTTCCGATCGCTTCTAGTCCCATGTCCGATTAGTCATTCCGATTAAATTTTTCAAACATTATTGTAGACTTACTCCCTCGGGCAAAAGTCTCACTTGGGAAGATTATTGTTTATATTAAATTTTGGGAACTACTTAAAATTACTTGATGATTATCAACAAAAGAAAAAGTTTTGGATTTGAATTTCGAATATTTAGATCTTACCCTTCATTTTTTTTTTTTTTTTAAGCCCATAGAGAATGCTGATTTTGGAATTATTTTTTAGACCAGGCCTATCTAGGAGGACTTTCTTATCTAGTTCCACTCCATTAAAAAAAAAAATTGATTTACTAAATAGATACAAAACTTGGACAAAATTTATTGGGAAAGCTTTCTATGTTTCCCCCGAAACATAGAAGTTCTATCCTCCCTCTACTATCCACCCGTCTATTTTTTATCAAGAGAGTCAATCACCGTTTGATCTTAGATCCGATATCTCACAGTATTTTATTTTTAGTTTTTTTAATACACTTTTTCTGAATATGACATGTCGTAGGTGCCATCTTCTCATTGGGGCACACCTATAAAAACTATTAACAGTAATTTTTTGATAAAAAATATTAATCAAATACCCCTTGAATTTTTTAGGGGTATTTTGGTCATTTTATTTTATCAAAAGTATTTTTTTTTTATTTTTCTTTAGTGCGAGTTTAATAGAAGAATGGACGTCCAAAATTTGGTGTCAAAATAGTTTATAGAAAAAAATTAAAAATAAAATAGTGTAGAGACATGACATTGTGATTGGGGCAATCTTTGCCCTCCATTAAAAAATGAACGGTTGGATGAGGGGGATGATAGAACTTCTATGTTGTAGGGGAATATAGAAAGCTTTGCTAAAAAATTTTAGCTGCAGGATTCAGGGTATTTAGTTGAGGTTGGTGCCTTTACTGAGTTGGTTATGTCCACATAAATTTTGTGACTAAAAAATACTCTGAATTAGGTTTCGCGTGAGCGAGCAAATGTACAATTGGCTCCCCATGAGAGTGTAAAATCTTTAAAATGAAAAGAAAAACTACCTTACAAAACAATTAAGGTGATCAAAATCATCCCAGAGGGCAACTAAAGTTTCTCAAAATCATTAAATTTCAATTCACTCAACTACCTCCTCAAAATATTTGTTAAAATTTAACTAAAATGCCTATGTTCAGGATTAGAAACCCTATACAAGTAGAGGCACTTTGATAGTTTGGCTCACTTAAATAAGAGAAGCTCAATGATGATAATATCCCTAGTTGTTCAAAGTTAGCGACATGAAGCTGCCAATAATACCGCTGGTTGTTCTGGTTTAATAACAAAGAACTCGTCAGTTTTTGTATTGTGAACTCTTGTTCTACATTGCTAACCCTTAACCAATAGGGGTATTATTAGCAAATTATTGAAATACCCTTCTTTTTTGTCAATCATGGTTGAGGGTAATTTGATTATTCTTAAGATATTTTTAAGAAATGTACCTCTATGAAATGAAATTTTAAAGCCAGCCAATCCTAATGTTGACGATTTGACCACCTTAATGCTTTTGTAAGGTGGTTTGACCATTTAATTCCTATGTTTTCGATAATGAAATTACCTAGTTATCCGATGCATCTCAAGCACATTGCTTACGCTATACAGAAAAGTAAGAAAAAAAAAAAAGAAATTGTTCAACTCTCTCCGTAAAGGTAGAAGTAGTTTTAACTTTTAAGTGGTGTATATGGCCCTAGGATAGGAAATGGGCCTGGTGGCCCAGCCTTGAAAATCCGGGCCTCAGGTAACAAAAGTTGGACTGAAGGCGGTGGCCGAGCTGCACCAAGGGGCATGCCCGGCCTAGTTCAATACAATTTTTTTTTTTTGTTTTTTGCTTTTCCTTTTTTTTTTTTAAAATAAAAAAAATTGATTAGCCCTGCCCTGACAGAACTAGGCTAAGGCGGGCTGAGCCAGTGCCGTGCCTTTCAGGCACTTGCCCAAAGTTCGGCCTGGGCCTCGGTCTGATCCGAGCCAGGCCAATCTTAAGGTGGGCCTCTTGTTTCAAGCCCTATTAAAGCCTTATGTGTGAAATTTCTATGCCAAACCAGGTTCAGAAAGCTCAAGAAAGTAGGAGAAGTTGATACTTACCGGCCACTCTATTGGGGGATCAATTGCAATCATAGCCACTCTGTGGCTTCTCAACCAGTCCCAAAAACCAGGCACCAACCTTACCACCCCTCAATGCATCACCTTTGGATCTCCATTAGTGGGAGACCAACGCCTTGTCCAGGCAATTTGTAGAGAGAATTGGTCCTCACACTTCATCAACTTTGTATCAAGACACGATGTAGTTCCCCAAATCCTCTTCTCCCCTTTCTCCTCCATTCACGCTCAATTACGTTTAATTCCTTCGCTATGGACACCTTTTTCTTCTTCATCCAATAATGTAAGATTTCAAGAAATAGCAGCCAAGCTTTACACTACTGTAATGACCAACACATTGTCCATAGCTAGCTGCACTAGTGCCTCTTTTTCTATAGTACCGGGGGTCACTAATCCAATGTTTGATGCCATAGCTAGCATGGTAGAACTTAGTCCACATAGACCTTTTGGGTTGTCTGTATTTTTCGATGAAAACATGAGAAGCATGAGAATGGTGGGACTTGAGAACTGCGAGGCTACTTTGCAAGTGATGTTCTACACAGCGCAATCAGATACCCATGAAGTTGTGGAGGTGGCCAAGAGAGGGGTGGCTTAGCATCTCATATATGGATCCATGTGTGAAAGAATTAGAATGAAGGATGTTGTGTTCATGGAAAAACTGGATCAGCTTGCATTGTCTACTCAAGGTAGCAACGACAACGAAACCAATTCGCTTCTCCACGACTTTGGACTGGTGAGTTTCTCATTGCTCCTAGATGTTGCACAATAGAAATGCAGTTACACATGAACAAGTATTCAAGAGAGAGTTACATATTCAAATTCACACACACAAACACAGAAAGCGCATATTCCCAAAAGGGCATTATAGAAGTTTGCGTCATCTTTCAAATTTTCTGGCTTCTAAGTTTGAAGTCAGCTAGATCAATTATTAGACACAATTATTAACCAAAGCTTATTTCACCTTAGTATACCTGATAATTATACCCTCTTGTCCTCTGTCAGACCACAGGCCAAAAGGAAAGAGCCCGGGAGAATTTTCAGTACGAATGTGTTTAGCCATTGAAGCCACCCAAGTAATTGATATCATAAGCATGATTTTGTTAATAGATGGAATGGCTAAGAATGCATGCGAGTTTCCATGGATTCAGCCAATTTTCCCTTTTTCATTTTTTTCTTCATTTTTTTTTCTTTTGCCATGTTAATGGAGTAGGATTGGGACTCTAAAGTCATATTCACCTTGGCCACCATGCCAAGAGCTCCATTCTTGAATCCTTGAGAATCGTTTTTGTGTTTTCTTGTTTGTGTAGGGTACAAAAGCAAGGCTAGCCCTTTGTATGGCCAGACAATCCGCAAAGCAAAAGCAAGACAACCAAGCCAAAGTAAGCAAGAGTTTTGACAAACTTCAGCCAGCATTGAGTTGGCTCATGGATTACCGGGACAGTTATGAAAAGGAAGGTACATGTTACTATGACCCGTTTAAGGCCCAAAATAACACAAAGGACTTCAAGGCCAATGTGACGCGGCTACAGCTTGCAGGTCTCTGGGATGAGGTGATTGCTCTATTACGTGACCACCAATTACCGGACATCTTTGAGACGAACCCTGAATGGGTAGGAAAAGCCACCACATATCGACGCTTAGTAGAGCCCCTTGATATAGCCAATTACTACAGGCATGCTAGAAATAAGGATTGTGGGCCTTACATGGATAAGGGTAGACCTAGGCGCTACAAGTACCCACAGAAGTGGCTAGAGAGGAGCGAACCCAAGATAGGCTCGCCAAAGTTCGACTCGTCTTGGTTAATGGCAGAGGTGGAAGAAATGTTGAGAGAGAGGAGTTTTATAGATATGAAGGAGAAGGTGTTGGATTTTGAAATGGAGATGTTGGGCTGGAAGAATGAAGGCATGTTAGTGCTGAGGACGGATATAGGGGTGGCTGAGGGGTCTACATTTCTGAAATGGTGGAACACACTCCCTGTAGAGCACAGGGAGAATAGTTGCATCAAGGATTGGTTTGTTTCATGAAGGAAGATATAGCTTTCTTTAGAGCCAAAGGAAGTTATAACTCCATTGTCTGATTTCATAGGAGCACTACCCCTCATAATTGTAACAACTAGGTTTAAAATATTATGGGTCATTTGGCTCCCTCAGTATGAAAACTCACTGTTTTAAATCAACCTGATTCTTTCAATCCTTGGTTTAGCAAAAACCTAGTCATGGGGACAGGAATGTTTGGATAGAACCATGAAAATTTCCCATTTTTTGTTCATCAATTTGTATAACCTGGGTTTGCATCTATTTTTATGGTTAAAAAGGGAAATTCTTTAGAATATTTTCTTGGATACTTAAGAATTTAGGCAACAGAAATTTCAGTAACAATAAGCTTACAAAATTTCAACAAAAACATAAGAAAGAAATTCATAAGATATGTGTAGAGCATAACAATTGGCCAAAAAATCCTGCAAAAGCTTTAACAGAAGGAATTGAGGATGCGTTGTTGTTTGTGCAAGAGGAGGTCGCAAAGGCCCCCTCTCCCACAAAGTTTGAAGCACCTAGGCTCTCAAAAACAAGGTCAATTGACATTTTTTGCTTGGAACCCTGACAAATGACCTTGTGAAAGAAAATCTTTGCAAATAAAAATTTTCAAAAAATGTGTTAAAGATTTCGAAGAATAACCCAATAATGTCTATGATTCATTACAAAAAACAAGAGGACAATTAATTTTAATAAATAATGGGGTTGTTTAGTTGTAAGTGATGTAAAGAATAAAAACCAAGGTGACACAAAAAAATAGTGCAAAAAAATAAAAGAAAAGTGACACAAAGATTTATGTGGCCCGGCAAGTTGCCTACATTCAAGGGGCAGCAAAGTTTTTATCCACTAATAAGAAAAATACCATGCAATTATAGAGAATACAAGGGATTACACCCTCTCTCTATCTCAAGCTCTAAAACAAAGTCTTTCTCTCACTAGAATAGCCACTCAAGGACTAAAGAACTAACTCTTCTCTTTTGATATTTTTTTTGCATTATATTCTTGCTCTACAAAGCACACTTTATAAAGAGAAGAAACCCATGAGACTCACATGAGCCTCACTCTCCAATTCCTATTTGATTAGGTATCCTATTTCTCATGGACTACCGCCGTGAGACCTCATTTTTACCCATAAATTTTCCACATCTACTAGGATTTAGTTTCCCTACCAAAATAGGATCTAACAATGGAAGGGATATGGATCGTGTGAGTCCCAATACTAGATACCCATAAAATAGGAAACAACTTCCTATTTTAATGGAAATTGGCTTCACGTAATTAACATCCTCCCATTTGAAGATATGTTTCTATTTTGCTTCGTCTGCTCCAAGAAATTTATGCCCACCAGTTATTAATTATCAAGTAACGACAAGCCCCAATGAAGTCCTGCACCAGGTGAACTTCCCTTTTCCAATGGGCTTAGTTAACATATCCGATGGATTGTCATCAGTATGAATTTCTGCAACAAAATTTTTCCATCTTCTACCACATCACTAATGAAGTGTTAGAACATCAATATGTTAATTTGCATCGACATATCCGGTGGCTTTCAAATCCATTCCACTGTAAAAAATATCAACATTGCAAGTTCCCTTCAAATACCAAATGATCCACTTCAAAGTGGTCCGATGATCATGGTCTGGATTTATCGTATATCTACTCATAACTCCTATTGCTTGTGTTATATTAGGTTTGCTATTACCCATAGCAAACATGAAGCTCTCTAATGTAGATTGAATATGGTACTCGAGACATCAATGTCTTCTGTGCGTCGGTGCTAGAGCATTGTTTTGGAGACAACTTCATATACACAGGAAATGGGGTACTAACTGGTTTGACATTATGTATATTGAAGCACCACAAAACTCATGTTTACGCTCCGCTCTATACATATATTTGACTTAAATATTAGTAAAACTAAGTTAAATTTGAAAAAGGTAGAAAAAGTAGGGCTCAGAAAAATCGTTGATCTATACAGATCTGGTCTTTTTTCAAGTCCACTAGAAATGCCAACTCCAAATCCGTATATTGACAAGAAATGTTGCTTCTAAATTTTATTAAATCTAATAATAAATTACTTTTCAGAAAAAATAAACTAAAGCAGAGAATTTGATGAAGAAAAACAAACTAAATTAAGCAAAGAAAGAAATACATACCTCTAGGGATATGAAACCTGGACTTTTGGGCTTAGATCAAGCCACTCTTTTTATTTGTGTCACCATCTCCTTTTTGGATTCCTTATGCTTGCTGGGATTGATAGATCGAAGGTTTATTTACCTAAATCTAAGGATCCTAAGGCATGGAGAAAAGCTAAAAAATTTTGGTAGGGTCTACCTATGTCTTTTTTTCGGATTAGAGAATAATTTCTTTAGTTTTCTAAGGAAATTCGCATCTCCTTATACTGAATATGAATTCTAAGATTTTTTGTGATTTTTAGAGATTTTTTTGGATATATTTTAAATTTTTTAATAATTTTCTATGGTTTTTTTTCTAAATTTATTATTATTATTTTTTTACTATTTTTCATATTTTTGGGAATTGTGTCCTATTTTTTAAGGATTCTAGAGGATTTCTAATCTCTCATTTTGGGCTATGGAGGCTGGTATTTATAGGTTTCAATTGTATACAGTTCTTGATTTGTTTTTATATTTTTTCGATTTTTTTTATTTGATTGATCTTTTGACTTCATCTACTAAAGAAAACACATTTTTACTACATCATCAGGCCACTTCTGGACCTGTTGGGCTGCGTTAGGGCCTACCCCGAGACCCAACACTTGGGTCTCATAGGGACCAAATTGTTATTTTTTATATTATTTTAACTGTATGTCCGATTTGGGTGATTCTTGAATGTTGGAAAGCTCTTGGAGTCTACTTAAACTTGGGATAAGTTTTGAGCAATTTTGAGATAATTTTATTGTGTCTAGGTTGCCGATGGTCTACTAGGATTTTTGTGGTCCTTCGGGTTCAAAATCGAGGTTTGTTCAGAGTTCTTTTTCTAGAATTTCAAGTGGGTGTCTACAATTGCCCCTCTTTGGCATTAACTTGGGTCCCAGTTAAATGGTAAAGAAGTAGACACCTGAGACACGGTGGGAAGGAAAAGTATTTTCGATGGATCATTCTTTTGAATGAGCAATACCCTTTGGGTAGACAGTACATTGATGGATGCTTTTGATCCATAAGATATCGAACTGACATTGCTATATTTTAGTCAGTGCGGTTGAGAGGTCTCTGACAATAAGGATCCAAAGTGATAGTCAACAGGAACCGTGCTATCTTTGAGCTGGTAACACTTTTTATTGTAGTCACTCCAATGCTACTTGGGAAGCAGCCAGTGTAGTCATTTTCAACTTTAGACCTTTTTCTTGGGGTTTAGTTCTCCAATCGAATGAGAGTTTGATTTAAAAGAAATAATCAGATGATTAATTCCTGGCTAACTAAACTTCTTGTTCATCTTCGATTAAGATTCTTCGGGTCAAGTTTTTCGAAATTGTGTCTGTGTTCATTGCCTTAGACATATCGGAATGCGACGAAACTTGGCAGGTGACCTTTTGGAGTACTTATGAAGATATTGACCAGTTATGGTGATATTTGAGACTATCAAGAATTCCACTGTATGTCCGGCTTTATTGACCGACTTCCTCTTTATTTCGCATCGGCACCAAGGTGCTGAAAAATGTGTTCAAACAACTTGCCTCACCGAATGTTATTTCCTCGGCTTTATTACTTTGTTCTTCCTAGCCATATGACCACGTGAATGCTAAGTAGATATCCACACAATGTTGTAACTAGGATGCTCAGACGTAGGGATGTATTGTTCACATGTGCGTCAGTGGAGACTTTAGGGGGAGAAGAGAATTTTTTTAGGGATCCTGTCGAAGTCTTCACCCTCAAGGGACTAATTGTGATTCTGATAGCTGAGGATTTTATACGAACCTCATTGGTCAGAATCAGGTCTGTCTGGCAATTGAGTGCCATGCTGAAGGGCATTATTCCCATTTGATTTGGGTTTGTTTATATCCTCTGGTGTTGATCCACGTTTCAAGGATTTGTTTGTTTGTTGTTGTGCTGAAGGACCTTCTATCGGCATTGTCTGCTTTGTGCACCAGTTATTCCTTGGTGGGCAGAGTACCTCAGTTTATCGAGGTGACCGGCTTTGGGTATAACCCCTACCCACTGCTTTGTAGTTTCGACAATCAAGATACCTCTCTTCTTTGTCTGAGGTGGCCCCAGAGGACTCAATCCTGATTACCGCACCAAAGTCATGGTTGACTTAGCTTTCTTAGGGCCTCTTCAACATCTTGGAATGTGTTAGTGACCTCTTGGACATGATGCTCTTCTTCATGAGACTTATCTTGCTTTCTTGGTGAATCTTCTGTCTTTCGAGTCCTTTTTGCGAATGGACTCGGGCTGTCAAAATCGTTTCCTTGAAGCTCGTATTTTTGGGTCCTGGCATTGTGACACCAGGGATTTTTCTTTTTGAATGCGAGCTAAAACCACCTGTGGAGGCGAGTGCTACATCAACCTACTTATTGGTCCAAGTGTCCTCGGCGAATTTTCACTTGGACTTGGGAAGCGACGCCGTGGAGACGATTTTCACCAACTTCCTTTTATTCGAGGCTTTTTTACCCATGAACTTTCGACCATGTCCACCCTTTTCATCCAGTTGTGGTCACGATGCCCTTTCAAGTTTTCACCGTGCCCGGGTTTTTATTTTCATGGAACTCTTTTACTCATGGTTTCGTGACCATGCCCATCCGTCATTTTTATTCATGGCGTTCCTTTGTGCAGTTATACACTATGCCCGTTATTATTATATATTTTTTCATTTCTTTTTCTTTTTGAGAGGGCATGTTTAAGGTCATGCCTTCGGACCTATGAAAAATAGTTTAACATCATGTGGCCTAAACGTGCACTATAGTTTTAAGGTCATACGCACTATAGTTTTAACGTCATACAGCTGGACCATGGTGGTGATGGATGGCAGTCTGTTGAGGCGACAGAGTGAGTATGGTGGTGGTTTGACTCACTTTGGGAGATGGCACGAGTGCTGCCTTTACGGGGTGGATAGTGTGCGCTCACCCTATGACAAGGTGGGGTCTTGAGACCCACCTCTCTGTACTCTAATGTGTGTGTGTGGTTCCAGGTAAGAAGAAACAGGTCAAGGGAGGCGATTTCGAACCTTCCATAAGCCAGGGGGCATTCCACGTGATCTAAGAGGGCGCCCATGCGAGCTAGCCCGAGCGTGTCATGGATCCATGTG